GACTCAGCATGAGGCTCATGATGCTCCATATCTGGTTACCAGTATGACTTACATTTATAAGCATTCATATTATATTTTATTCAATTATAGAGCCATCCATTCATTTATTTTTGAGCTTTTCATCATTTTGCTAAACTTATCTTCAAATTTTTTTATTACTATATCGATTAAAGATGATATGATGACTAGTAGGATCTATTTATGTGCTCTTGTGATTTTTGATATAAAGTGGAGGTATAATTTGATTTTATTACCCATTTATACAATTTAATGTTATTTTGGGTATGGACTGATTGACTTAGTATGAGGCTCAGATTAATTGCTTAAAGTTATTCCTTAGTAGTGAGATTTATGTTTTTTAGAGTGCTAGAGATATTTTGTTTTGTCTGATTTCTACTATGGAAGCAGATGGATTTTGGAAGATGGGTTGTATGATATTTTTGGCATTAGTCTAGGATATGATTATTGATTTTATTTTTCTTTATGATGTTCTGTTAGTACGAGATTTTTCAGATGTGTTTCATGAGGAGTTAGTGATCAGTTTGCCTCTTGATATAAACATTGAATTTTGTATTGATGTATTTCATGGTACAACTCAAATTTTTAAAGCTTATATAGAATGACACTTAAGAGGCTTCAAGAGTTGAAGGTTCAGCTTCAAGAGTTATTTGATAGTGGATTTGTTCATCTTAGTGTGTCTCTGTGGGGGAGTACTTATTCTGTTTGTGAAGAAAAATGATGGTTTGATGCATATATATATTTACTACCGTTAGTTGAACAAAAGTCATTATCAATAATAAATATCCTTTATTATGGATCAATGATCTATTTGATTAGCTTGTTGGATCTTCTATATTTTTTAAGATTGGTTTGCATTCTTGATACTATCAGGTGAAGGTGAAACAGGTTGATATGATGAAGATAGGTTTTAGTACAAGGTATAGACACTAGGAGTTTTTGGCTATACCATTTAGGATGATTGCTACTCCAACTATCTTTATGGATCTAATGAATAATGTGTTTAGGGAATTTTTAATCGATGATATTTATGTATATTTTACTTCTGATGAAGATCATGTCAAGTATTTAAGGATTATTTTAGAGACTTTAAGGCATCATTAATTATATGCCAACAATTTTAATTGTGATTTATAAATGAGGAGTATTTCTTTTCTAGGAAACATCATGAGTAGTGCTATTATTTTTATAGATCCTCAAAAAGTTCAAGTGTCACTAATTGATCAAGGCCTGCTATTATGTTTGAGGTATATAGTTTCTTAGTAATGGCTAGATATTATCAGAAATTTGTGAAAGAATTTTCTCAGATTTATATATCTCTAGTGAAATAGACTCATAAATTAGTAGCTTTTGTATGGACACTAGATTTTGAGGCAAGTTTCCAAAGATTGAATGATTGTTTAACTTCTGCTCTAGTTTTTACTTTTTCTTCTGGTACATAAGGCTTTCATGTATACAGTGATGCTTCACTTAGAGGTTTGGGTGTGTTCTAATGAACACTGTCGAGTTTTAACTTATGCTTCCAAATAAATGAAGTCACATGAGAGAAATTATCTAACACATGATTTGGAACTTGCTACTGCAGTGTTTACTTTGAAGGCCTGAAGACAATAGTTTTATGATGTTAGGTGTGAGATTTTCATTGATTATTAGTTTGAAATATATATTCACTCAAGAGGATCTAAACCTGAGGCAAAGGATGGCTTGAGTTTATCAAAGATTACAATATGAATATTTAGTATATGTCTGATAAGACTAATGTGGTGGCAGATGCTCTGAGAAAGAAATCCTTTGAATTATCTTATATACAACTCACTTCTGAGAGTATTTAATATGAGATATGGAGCGATTACAGTTGCAAGTGATTTTTTCTACTAATTGGGATTATAGTATATTGGCTCAGATGATTATTCAACCTTCTTTGCAAGAAAAGATTCTTGAATCATATAAGCCAGATACAGAGTGTCCAAAGTTGATTGACTTGATCATATCTAGTAAGAAATCTGAACTACGAGTTTTATATTATGACATTATTTTTTACAAGGATAGACTATGAGTTCCTCTTTTTAAGGTTCTGAAATAAGAGATTCTGCATTAGGCTCACTATTTAGGTTATATTATTCATCTTGAAAGTATCAAGATGTACGAAGATTTGAATTGTATATTTTACTGCTTGGATTAAAAGATAAAGTGGAGTTTATTTCAAAAAATGAGGCATGTCAATTAGTGAAGGTAGAGCATCAAAGATCGGATGATCTTCTACTGTCATTATCTATTTCGGAGTGAAAATGGGAATGATGATGATGGATTTTGCTATATTTTTCTAAGATTGAAGTAGGGGCATGATGTTATCTGGTTCCTTTTTTTAAGTATGGTTCCATCTTATCAACTTTAATGAAAGTATACAGGGCAAGTGAAGAACAAAATCTAATTAATTTATCTTTAGCTTCTAATTATGGCTTAATTAATTACCAAGCTTTGCAGAATTGACTAAGTTCCAGCGGCGAATTTAGTATGCAGATTGGATAATATTGATTTAAATCTCAACTAATATTGCTAAAAAAATAAATTTTATAAGTAAAAATATTTGTGATTGTCCATCATATTCTAAACATATGATGAAAAATATGTGAAAATATATCATACTTTATCTTCTACTATGATATGTTTTCTTTCTCTTTGAAGTTACATATTCATCTCTCATATTTCAGGGAATAGAGAATGTTTAAGAGCTAAAATTAGAGATTAAATATGATATACTTTCAAATAGTAGAATAGTAGTTGTTCAATTTCAAGCGGAATCTCATCCAAGCATCATTCACAATTGACACATCGGAGAAGTTGGATGTTGTCGCCGCTATTGATCCACACATATAGCATGAAATACATACCCACAATCTGGTAAACACCTCAATGGATTATCCTCATATCTCTCATCATCAGTCATCAAGGTATATTGAGTAGCAATTGGTTGAGGCTATATGTGGATCCTGACACATGGCTTTGGCGAATTTAGGCCAAGTCCAGAGTGTGAAAAATTATTAGGTCCGGACGTTAGACCTAGAAATAGGTCTAGATATCCAATTAAAATTTAACATGTGGTCTGCACTTTGACTGTGCTTTTTACTGCATTTTGACTGCGCTTTTAATACGCTTTTACTATGCTTTTCGATTGCACTTTGACTATGTTTTGACTTTTTTTTTGCTGCGCTTTACCTGTACTTCACATGTGTTTTACCTACGCTTTTAATTTGCTTGGTTTAAAATTAGACGGGTACATTTAATTTATAAAGTTTCCACGTGTACACTCCACATGTAAATATTTTATTGGAGTCCAAACGTACCTCTACATCTAGTGTCCGAACCTAATTATTTTCCCTAGAATGTTGCATCATATTAAATCATAATTTATCTTCTGCTATGATTTACATATTCATGTCTCATATTTCAAGGGATTGAGAAAGTTTAAGAGTTAAAATTAGAGATAAAGGCTTCGATTGAGACAAATTTTTTCTTGCTTTTTAAAATGAATTTCTACTGAAGTTCCGTTTTAAGAATCGATACTAAAAAAATATTTTTTTTGTACTAAAACTCTGTTTTAAGAAGCAATTATCCTAAAACTCTATTTTAAGAAGAAATAAAAAATCGTCCCAAACAAAGCCTAAAATTAAACAGTAAAGATTATTAGCATAGATTATCCATCATAAACATTGACATTGACAATAAGCTTTCTTTTTTAATACTTGACAAAATAGGAAGTAATTAGAATTATTCATTGTCATATAATATTTATAGTAAAAAAATTATCATATTTATTCATTTAATATATCTTCATTATTGAGTATATTCTATTTTATTGCATTTCCATTATTATTTTATTCATTTGTCTTTATATAGTCATATTTGTATTAGTACAAAATCACTCGAACAAAAATATAACTTTATAGAATTTCTAGTACCGCAAGAAATAAGGATAATTTTGGTGGTAGAAATTGATCTAGTAGAACTACAGAATTTTCAATACCGACGATCGACACATTGGATAAGTTGGATGTTGCCAAAATCATATGGCATGAAATAAATGTCCGCACTCCATTAAAAGCCTCATTTATTTATTTTTTTCAAAAATTTCCCTTTATAGATGTTGGTAGGCGAGACTTGAGAGGTTGATGATTTCTTAAAATATCCCTCGATAGACTTTGTTAAAAAACAAGCAACATGATGTGTTTTTACCGTCTGCTCTCTACAAGTAAGCTGTTTATCAAAACTCAAGAACAAATTGAAGTGCAAACTTGATACCAGCAGCCAAAGAAGGAGCTTAGGCTTCCAAGGTTTGTACTCGATCCAACTAAAGGCATCGGCGCGGCACCATTCATCACCAATGACCGACACATCAGACAAGTTGGAGGTTATCGCAACCATGGATCCACACACATGTCATGAAATAAATGCCCACAATCCGGTAAAAGCCTTAATATGCTTTATCCTCGCCTTCCTCCTCATCTTCATAGTCGACAAGGCATATCGAGCATTACATGATTGGAGTTGAATGAATACTCTAACTGGTATGGAAATGCTGTAATAAAATAGTTAATAATTAATGCAATGCAGTTATGAAATAAGGGTCATTCTTATGTGAGAAATTGATCTACTAGAGTTGGAGAATTTTCAGTAGCCCGTACTAGCACCTAGCTAACAAAAAAATTTTAAAGAGATTTCCCACTTCTTCTGGAATTTTCTGGGCTACCAATTTACAACTGTTCACACAACATCTTCATTGTAAACCATGCCAACCGCTCGTTGATCACTAGGATGTGTCTTATTCAATTTTCGTTAGTCAATTAAGACTTTGAATAAGACAAATTTTTTACTGTTTCTAAAACAACTTTTAACATATACATATAAAAGCAATGAAAAATAAATCGGATCTTGAGCTTGAAATAAATACAATATTTATCACGGATGACCATCAATCACATCGCTGGAAGAAATTTTGTTTCACACAGAAGATCAAACTCCAATATTCAAACAACATTTGTTGAAACTCCAATTTCAATACAACTGCTTTCAAACAAATTTATGCATCAACAACAGCTCAATTAAATAACAATTTTTGAGAAAAATTATACATTAACAACACCCCAATCAAACAGGGCTAAAGAGACAAAGAGTAGAATAGTAGCATATATATACATCTACGCCTATTCAATTTCAAGCGGAATCTCATTAGCTAAAGGCATAGGCGTGGCACCATTCATCACCGACGATCGACACATCGAAAAAGTTGGATGTTGCGACAGCCATGTATTCACACATATGGCATGAAATAAATGTCCGAAATCCGATAAAAGTTTCAATGGCTTATACCCTCCTTCCTCATCATCATAGTCAACAAGGCTCTCTAACGACCGACATACCGGATAAGTTGGAGGTTATCATAACCATGGATCCACACACATGGCAAGAAATAAATGCCCATAATCTGATAAAAGCCTTAATGTGCCTCACCCTCCCCTTCCTACTCATCTTCATAGTGGACATGGCATTTTGAGCATTACATGATTGGAATTGAATGAATACTCTAGCTGGTATGGAAATGCTGTAATAAAATAGTTAATAATTAATCACAGGCAGTTATGAACTGTCCTGTAGTATTAACAGCTACGGGGGAGAGAGAGATAGAGACTCACTAACCTGAAAGCACGGCCACGGAAGCGAAGAAGACGCAGGCTGAAATTTTTTTCATTAATAGTTGCATGATTAATGAAAATTATTGAATGAATACTCTAGCTGGTATGGAAATGCTGTAATAAAAATAGTTAATAATCAATGAAAGGCAATTATATTAGAAATAATTAAATGCAAGGCCTCAAAAGGGTTACGTGAATACTTTATTGTTTGTACTAAAACTCCGTTTTAAGAAGCAATAAAAAAGTCGTCCCACACGAAGCCAAACAAAGCCAAAATAAGCATTTTACGTTAAAAGGCTGTAATGGAAATTCATTGGTCTTCAAAGTAGATTATATATCAACGTCAAGCAGGTTTAGGTTGATTTCATGCTTCCAGTTCCTTGCACCGTCTTCCATGCCTTTTTTGGCGCAGTTGAAGAGCAATAAATGATACTCAGCTTTCCTGGAAAGCTGAAAGGAGCTTTCAGATCCAAATTAAAATGCTATAGATAACATTTGGATGATTCATATTCTGGTATACCAAAATACTATATCTTATATTCTTCCCTTTTTCCCTAGACGATCCTGTTCATGCGTGACTTCCTGAATCGCAAGCAGCTCTCCAATCCCGGCTCCCAACTTTCCTTGTCCAACAACTGTCCTTGAAGATTGAAGCCACGAAGGTGAAAAATCAACGTGCGAGCATAGTTTTCATTAATTTTCATTAAGACATGCCACCAAAATTAGCGCTAGACTTTAATCACTCAACTATCATTAGTGTCTATATGCAGTTAATTAACTAATTAGTTAACAGCCGCTGCTATTTGTCGGTTTTGTCCTAATATCTGTTTTGGAACATAGGCATTAAACCGAATTGACTGGAAGCTATAATGCGTGTATTTAATCACTCAACTATCATTAAACCGAATTGACTGGAATATTTCCCAAAAAGATTTATTAGGTAATTACCTCAAACGTCTGCCCTTAAGGTCGTGTATTTGGTCTCCCAGGTCTGACGGGTGTTTTTCGTCTTCTCTCCGTCAAGAAACCGAAGGTGTTCTCGTGCTCTACGTCCCGCTCGAACAGCTGCCGGCGCCGCTCGTAGTGCTCGACTGCTGGTGTCCTGAACTCGTAAGTTTTTCTGATCGTGCTCGTGCATTTCTGTGCCCCTAAGATACTTAATCCAGAAATTTCAAATCAGTTTGTTCATCCTTAACAATAAAATATATTAGTTCATCCTCTTACTAACTACTTCACTGGAGCTAAAACGATTATAATGAGTCACTAAGTTTTTTACCGTAAATTTGTCGAAGCTCACATTTTTTTTTAATTTTCTGTAAAACTACTAGACTACTCTTCTTAGGGTTTTAATTTGAGAAGCAAACAGGGGAAAATGGTTTGCAGTTCTTGCAAACAAACATAATAGCATAGCTAGAATAATTATTACAATAAAAAAGAAACAAAACTAAATAATATTTCCTTTGAGGAATGAAAAAGCTGAAAACTCACCTCCCGTCCAAAGAAGAAACCCTTGATGACCATATCCGTTTGATTTGTTGGGAGAGCGAGTAGCTGCAGGCTGCCGAAATCAGCAAAAAGTGTCTGAAATCAGCGAAAATTTGTGCAAGTCATTAAAAAAAATGGATTAAACATTTAAACGGAGAGAAAGCCAGAAAAGTGGAGAGATAGAAAAATGTTGGCATACATGCCGACTGTCGCCGACCCATCGCAAGCCGCCGTGAGCCGCTGAAGGTGAAAGGCGGGCTTTCGGCGTTCCAACGAGATTATAAGAAAGCTTTTCGTCTAAACCACTGCAGGTGAAGGGCAGGCTTTCGGCGTTCCAACGAGATCCTTGCGCGTCAAACACTTCCGACTTCCGACTTCCGACCTTCGCCCTTTGGCTTCTGCAAGTCCGCGACTTAGGGCAACTCCAATGGAACGACAAACACTTGCCGTTCTTGCTTTGCTTCAACCGACCGCTATTTTTGACGCTAGTTGATCGCGGATGAACAGTCCGACGCCAATATTCGTGTTGCACTGTTCATCTGCGTCATTTTTTATCTCTCTACCGAACAGATTGGGAACAAAGGCGCGAAAGAAAACAAACGATTTTAGCGACAAAATGGCGTTGGATTGGAAATGAATCACGGCATTTTTTTATTTCCCTGCATTTTGAAGTGAAAAATGA